AAAAAAAAAAAAAAAAAAAATTAGCCAGGCATGGTGGTGCATGCCTGTAACCCCAGCTACTGGGGAGGCTGAGTCAGGAAAATCACTTGAACCTGGGAGGCTGAGGATGTAGTGAGCCAACATCACGCCATTGCACTCCAGCCTGGGCAACAAGAGTGAAAGACTGTCTCAAAAAGCCAAACAAAACAAGGCCCACGTGGGCCCCGCCCATGGCGACCAGACATGCGCTCCTCTAGCAGCAGTTCCACGTTGTGCCAATGGCCCACTACGAGGAGGTGAGCGTGTCTGGCTTCCAGGAGTTCAACTGGGCCGTGGAACAGCACAATGGCAAGACCATTTTTGCCTCCTTCACGGATTCTAAGGACGCCGGAGGGAAAAGCTGGTGCCCCGACTGCGTGCAGGCTGAACCAGTCGTACGAGAGGCGCTGAAGCACGTTAGTGAAGGATGTGTGTTTATCCACTGCCAAGTAGGAGACAAGCCTTATTGGAAAGATCCAAATAATGGCTTCAGAAAAAACTTGAAAGTGACAGCAGTGCCTATGCTACTTAAGTACGGAACACCTCAAAAATTGGCAGAATCTCAGTGTCTTCAGGCCGACCTTGCAGAAATGCTGTTCTCTGAAGATTAAGATTTTATGATGGCAATCATGTCTTGATTTCCTGATTTTAGTATCAAAAAACTGTATACTTGCTTTGAATTCATGTTAGCAATAAATGATGTTAAAAAACTGGAAACAAAACAAAACAAAACAACAATGAAGTCAGAGGTCAACCTTATAAATTACCCAACAAACACAGTAGTTGGGTCATCATACGTACTTTTTGTCTTATCAGTTTTCTTTACAATAGTAGGACTTCCATTTGCCACAAAGTTTGTTTAGCAGGCTAATAAATGTCTAAATTCCTTGACTCTCTTAATATTTTTTAGTTTTGGAGGGTGGGGAGGACAAAGGTGAGGCATCTGAGCAACCCTCTCATAGGAAGATGCTCAGATGAAACTGATGCTGAGAAGGAAAAAAAATGCTTTGATTTGCTCTCACTATGCACTTTGGATTTTGAAAAAAAGAAAAAGAAAAGGAGAGGTTTTTTTTTTTTTTTTTTTTTTGAGACGGTGTCTCGTTCTGTCCTCCAGGCTGGAGTGAAGTGGCGTGATCTCGGCTCACTGCAACCTCCACCTCCTGGTTCAAGCGATTCTCCTACCTCAGCTTCCCGAATAGCTGGGACTATAGGCATGTGCCACCATGCCCAGCTAATTTCTTGTATTTTTAGTACAGACGGGGTTTCACCATATTAGCCAGGATGGTCTTGAACTCCTGCCTTTGTGATCCACACGCCTCGGTCCCCCAAAGTGCTAGGATTACAGGTGTGAGCCGCCGCCCCCAGCTGGAAGACCCTTTTCTATAAGCAAATACAGACAATATCGACCAAATCTCCTGAGCATATTCAAGCAGTCTGCACTGTGATAGCAACCTAGAGAAGGAGAATGCTTTATACTGAAAAGCATGTGGCCCTTTGTGACTCTGTTGTTCCATTTTTAATGTCTAATGATTCACTGGAGGAAAACAAAAAGTCTAAGTATTTATGTATCATGGTGGAGCAGAGGAATGCAAGAGAAGTTCACGTGGGGCTGGCCTCACCTCCTAAGAAACGAGCGTTCACAACTTCCTTGTGATAGTGTGAGCCTTTGGCACCAGAAGGGATTGCCATGGCATTACTGCACCAAAAAGCCAAGAAATCAAACTTGTTTGCTAAAATGTAAAAATTCTGAAATTCCCTCTTCTCTGCGTATGAAACAAAAAATCAAACACTAAGACACATGTTTTGGGTAGGTGGGGGAAATCTTCCCTATATTTATATAACTATATATATAATGTATATATATTGCTTAAAAAAAAAAAAGGAAGGAAAAAAATTGAAAAGATCGGGGACCACGGCACTATGCAGCAAACTCTGAATTACCTTGCTGATGTCACATCATTTTCCAAACAATTCTGTGAGGTAGCTGTTGTCATCCCTATTTTACAGATAAGGAAAGTGAGGCTCAGCGATGGAACTGAGTAAAAGAGCTTGCTGTCTCATGTATCAGAAGATAATCTTGTGATTAGGAAAATTAATAGTTATGAGGTTTTATTTTATTATTATTTTTTTAACTCTTTGGAACACAGTTTCAGAAGGAACTGACTGTCAGGCACAGAGCCACTCAACAGGAGGACAGACTCACACCTGACTCCAGAGTCCTGGCTGCCTTGATCTGTCCAAGGGGAACTTTACAGTCGTCAGTCCAAAAAGTGCCATTCACAACCTCTTCAACCCCTCAGGAAGGCCTTCCAGCGTCAGTCCATCCTCCCTGTGTGCGCACACCGTCCACCAGCCCTTCAAGGTATCTTGTGCATTGCATGGTGCACCTGCTCCCGGGATTCACTCTTACTTGTGTCAGCATCCCTGGCACCCAGCACAATGCCTGACACACGCTGGGCACAATGAATGGATAAACCAGCCTGCACTCCCTGGGCCCATGTACTGTAAACCTACGAAAAGCCAGAGCAGTCTGCCTTGGGGACTCAGTGGACCTCCCCTCAGGCTGGGATCACACCCCCAAGACAGTAATCCAGACAGACTCGGGACAGAGCACGTTTGCTCAGCCAGCTTTTTCTCCAGCACTGAAACACCCACAATCTTTTCTTCAGCTGTGCATCAGATGCAGGAAGTGGCTTATGTTTGGGAACCATGTTGTACAAAAATGCCTCCTTGAACACTAGAACCTTAAAGGAATGAGTGTGTGCTCGCTGCTGTTTCCCTTTTTGCCCTAGGGAGATCATACACGTTGGCAGGAACTACAGCAGCCAGCTTGGACCATGAGACAGAAGCCCAAGTTTGAGCAAGAAAAGCCACATTATCAAAGGAACCTTGCTCCCAGATGATTCACAGAACAGAGCAAACTGTTCTACCAGCTCTGGACTGCATACTTCCAGAATTTTAAGGTGCAAGGAATAAACTTCTGTTTCCGCCACTGTATTTTGGATTACTTTGTTGGAACATTTTAGATTTCACCTAACTAAAGGTGTAAGCATTGCCCAGTGATGACCCACTCTGGTCTCTGTAGGTAAAATCATCGTAATATCAACAATTGCCCAACCAAACTGTAACAGGGATTTTGTCATTACTGTATAATTCTGAAGAAAAAGCTGTCAGGAAAGCATGATTTGAATCACGTTGAGTCTAGAGAGAAGAAGGACAAACTGAACTGATTTGTTTCATCCTTGAGTATTACGGACATACCTCAGATTTCCAAGTAGCCCAGGCTACTCTCTTCTGACAGTTTGCCTGTGTAAACTCCAGCTTGGCTCCCCTCCTCCAGCTCATTACCTGAATCAATGACACCCAAGAAGAAAATATGATGAGAATCTGAAGGGTACCTGCTCCCTCAGAGCTGCCCTTTCACGCATCCATCAAACACAGACAAATACAGAGTGCTGAGCACAGAGCCCAGCCCAAGGAAGTGCTAAATAAATGGTCAACTTGAATAAATGGTAAAGGCAGTGCTGAATAAATGGCCTGCTCCGTGCCAGACAACATTCTGGCACTGGGACACAAAGATGCACAGACTTAGCCTCAGGCCCTGCTCTCAAGAACTCCTGCTCAATGAGAGACAGGACACAAGGTTGATAAGCAAAAAACGACAAGGCTTGTGCCCAAGCATTACTGCTGCACCTGGCACTGCTCTGGGATACACTGGGGACTTTGTTTCTCAATGCACACCCTTCCTTAGGTGAGCTCATCGCCTCCCATGACTTCAGTGACCTTTGATGGTGACAGCTACTAGATCACCGCTAAATGAGTATACTTGAATGTTTTATAGGCATCCAACTCCAACATGTTCAAAACTAAACATATCTGCCCTCGCCCATATCTGGTCTCCGTCCTGCTCCCTGTCACATAGAGCAGCATCCAAAGCTCATCAGCCAAAAATTGGGGTGATCCCGACTCCTCCCTGCCCCTAACTCTCATCGAACTAATTGTGTCAATTCTATCTTCAAAACCATCTTTCCTCACACTCTGCCTCTAACTCACACCCTCATTTCTCACTTGGATTATTATTAATTTTTTTGAGATGGAGTCTCACTCTGTTGCCAGGGTGGAGTGCAGTGGTGTGATCTCGGCTCACCGCAACCTCCACCTCCCAGGTTCAAGTGATTCTCCTGCCTCAGCCACCTGAGTAGCTGGGACTACAGGCACAGGCCACAACGCCCAGGTAATTTTTTTTAATAGAGACGGAGTTTCACCGTGTTGGCCCAGGATGGTCTCCGTCTCTTGACCTGCTAGCTTCGGCCTCCCAAAGTGCTGGGATTATAGGCGTGAGCCACCGCGCCCGGCCCTCACTTGGATTATTCTAGCAGTCTCCTAATTGGCCTACAGGCCCACTCCCTTTGAAACATTCTTCACTTAGCCAGAGTCATCTTCCTAATCCATAAATCTGATTCTTTTATTTCAGGCTGGAAATAAAAGAACAGACATGGTTACACATGCATATAATCCCAGTACTTTGGGAGGCTGAGGTGGGAGGATTATTTGAGGCCAAGAGTTTGAGACCAGTCTGGACAACATAGTAAGACTTCATCTGTACCAAAAATTTAAAAATTAGCCAGGTGTTGTGGTGCATGCCTGTAGTCCCAGCTAGTTGGGAGGCTGAAGTAGGAGGACTGCTTGAGTTCAGGTCGAGGCTGCAGTGAACTATGATTACGCTGCCACTGCACTCCAGCCTGGGTGACAGAGCAAGACTTTGTCTAAAAAAAAAAAAAAAAAATCTGATTCTTTTATTTCGGGCTGGAAATAAAAGAATCCTCCCAAGGGCCGGGAGCGGTGGTTCAAGCCTGTAATCCCAGCCCTTTGGGAGGCCGAGGCGGGTGGATCACGAGGTCAAGAGATCGAGACCATCCTGGTCAGCACAGTGAAACCCCGTCTCTACTAAAAATATAAAAAATTAGCTGGGCATGGTGGTGCGTGCCTGTAATCCCAGCTACTCAGGAGGCTGAGGCAGGAGAATTGCCTGAACCCAGGAGGCGGAGGTTGCAGTGAGCCGAGATTGCGACATTGCACTCCAGCCTGGGTAACAAGAGCAAAACTCCGTCCCCCACCAAAAAAAAAAAAAAAGAATCCTCCCACCTCAGCCTTCCAAGTGCTGGCACCAGAGGCATGCTCCACCATGCCCACCTATTTTTTTTTTCTATAAAGATGGGGCCTTGCCATGTTGCCCAGGCTTGTCTCAAACTCCTGGGCTCAAGTGATCATCCCACCTTGGCCTCCCAAAGTGCTGGAATTACAGAGTAAGCCACCGCACCTAGCCACAAATCTGATTCTTAAATGGCTTCCCATTAACCTAAAACTTAAAGTCCTTAACTAGGTTTACAACGTTCTCTAAGACCAGACCAGGGCCTGCTTCTCTTTTTTCTGAGATGGAGCCTCACTCTATCACCCAGGTTGGAGTCAACAGCGCCAACTCAGCTCACTGCAACCTCCGCCTCCCGGGTTCAATTGATTCTCCTGTCTCAGCCTCCCAAGCAGCTGGGACTACAGGTGCATGCAACCACGCCCGGCTAATTTTTGTATTTTTAGTAGAGATGGGGGTTTCACTATGTTGGCCAGGCTGGTCTGGAACTTCTGACCTCAAGTGATCTGCCTGCCTCGGCCTCCCAAAGTGCTGGAATTGCAGGCGTGAGCCGCCTCACCCGGCCCAGCCTGCTTCTTTAGCCTAATGTCTCTCTCTCTCCCTTAGCTCTTAGCTTTCTGGGGGACAGAAGCCTCGTAGGATTCCCCCTAGACTGAGGGAAATGTCTCTGCTCCAGAGGAGGGAGAGCTTTCTGCCCTCACAGCAGTATCAGAATTGCTGATTTACCTGTATGTCTCCCACATGTGTCTCTGAGCTCTGGGTGATGATGAGGATACAACTAATCACAGCAACAAAGCTTTTACTTTGTGCCCAAAAGTGTTCTACGAGTCTCATTTCCCCTTTATAACAATCTTAGGAGGCAGATTTTATTAACATCTCTGCTTAAAG